TTCAAAGAAGAAAGGAAACAGAAAAATAATACAAATAAACAGGTAAAATAATACAAATAAAACAAATACTAAAGGTTGTAGGTAAAAGTAAATTGCATACAAGCCACTCTTTATGTCCTTGAAGTCCATCATGATTGAGAGTTTTTACAGCAACAGTAAGTCCTGTGCCGGGTTTAACTGGAGTGCTGCCATTTTCGTTAATCCAACCTTTAAAGACACAGCCAAAGCCACCTTCTCCGAGTAGATTATCGGGCCTAAAATTCCTCGTCGCCATTTTTAGCTCGTTATAAGTGAACTTGCGAAGCTGTGAAGAAATTTTCAGTTCCTCTTCAATCTTAGGTGTTGATGGGACACTGCTTTCTTCATTGCTGCTTGTTGAAGATGATATTACTGGGGCCACCACTGGTTGGTCTCCACTTGTGTCGTTTGTGAATTTGCTTTCAGCTGATGATAGAAGATTAAATAAATGTCAAATTTGCCAATGTAAATCAGATTACATACAAACAGTTCCTCTTTTTTTTTTTTTGGGTAATTTTGAGATTAAATGCAAGTTCTGTAGGGAATTTTATGCATTTTTCTGTTAAACACGAACGAGTTAAAAGGATGTTGCTGTAAATAAGATTATTTGCATCATGTTTTCTAGATATTGAGGAATAAATATCACGGTTTTTCGGGATTCATGCTAAAACCCATTAAAGTTATACCATTAAGAGATCTTAAAGGACCCAAATGCTATTACCATTTCTATCAATATGAGAATTATATTCAGATAATCCTAAGGTGTATATAACGTACTCCATTGGTTCACAATAACAAAATTTATCTGTGTATACGAGAAAGTGATGCATATTGCAGGAGATAACGCTGTTGTAAACGAATTTGGAGATTAAAAAAAAAAATACGTATGATAGAAGAAACTCATAGTCTAACAGCACTGGCATAACTAGACAATCTAGTTGAAACTTGACTGAATAGCACAAAACATAATATAACAGCATTTTATCAACAAAGACAATAATCATAAGACTAGCTAACAATGCAACCCAATACAGCAAAATAATCATAAGGCTAGCTCAAAAACCATATTCAATTCTCAGTAGAAAATCATTGTCCATTTCCATTTTTTCCCAATACAACATACGAAATTAAAGTTGAATCAAATGCACAAACAAAGGATAAAGATTAAAGGCAAAGCGTACCATACTCCGTGCTAGACTCACTAAGAGTAGTATCGGCTTTCGGCCTCGTGACCAAACACCTCCCAAAGAATCTGAACTTCCAACAACCACTTTCCCCTGCCACGTCATCATCTTCTTCATTAAGTATTTTTCTCCTCGCCTTCGGTTTTGAACTGCCTATATCCATAGCCGCCTTACTAAAAGCTTCAGCACCTAACCCCATTACACTCCAAACCCTAGCACTAAAATGCCATCGACTAGGAAAAAAAAATGAATTTTAAAAAACAATTTGAACACTCAATTCATCAACACCCCAATCTCTTCTCCACTTTGCCTAAACCCCAAAATATTCTTTTCTTGAAATTCTCTGTTTTCCGCACCTAAGTTGAGATGGGTTTGCTTCCTACTGCAAAGATACCAAACTAATCAGACAAGACAAAGGGAAANAGACAAGCTTGCTTTAACAAGAATTTCAGCAATAAACAAACAAGACTACAACTTATAGTAAATACATAATTAGAAAAACGTTAAAGACGACGAAAAAACTCGAGCCCGGACCAAAACATTTCAGAAATTGTTTAAAAATGCGGTCTTGGTATCACTCGTACAAAGAATTGGCACAAAAATGACAAGATTTAGACAGACAAAGCAGCCAAAACTAATTCAATCAGTTATCAAACATGTAATAAGAATAAAAATTAAAGCTTTTTTCAAAATGTGCATTTCAAAATGACAGAAAACCAAAAAAAACAGCGGCTTTTACACACGGTCCCCCCACTTCAAGATTTCACTCACGCTCAGTCACACACATTATAATTATTACCAACAAAAAGGGCTCAAAACCAAGATTTTTTTCCAGCAGCGAAGGCTCTGGGCTGCGAGTTGTTCTCGAGGCCGAACAAAAGCAAGTGACTGAGTGTGTTTGTGTTTGCGTGAAAAGGTGTGAGAGAAAGGACGTGGATTACAGGGGCACAAGAAGGGGGAAGTTTAGAACGCGAGCGGCTGTGACGAATGAATATCAAAGCGGAATATTACTGGTCAAAGAGATGGGCACGTGGGGCCCACCTGTGTAGAAAAATCATTGGTGCCATTGGCGGGTGAGATCGACAAAATGTGTGTGTGTGGGATTTCCTGTAAATTGGACTGGCAAATTTTCCGTTTTTTTTTTTCTTGCGAAAAATATTTGGTCGTTAAGCCTTTTTTTATTTTGTGTGTGTAATAATAAATGAATAATAATCTTTGAGTCGGATTTTGTATATATAATATTGGGTTGCTTTGATTTTCGATTTTTATGTCACTTTTCTAGCCTAGATTTGTGAAATTCGAAGTCCAAAATTGTAAACACCTTAGTGGACTACTTATACACACTAAAAAAAAAATAAAAAATTATCATGCACAAGGTAATTTTTTTCTAATATAAAATAAGATATGACTTCCACTTCAGCCCGTAAACAAGTAGAGTTCAAGCTCGAGATTGGATCATTTAGCTTAAAAGCATGAGCTCAAGTACCATGACCTCCATTTCGGCTCAACTCGTTTATTAAGCTGATCTAAACCCGACTCGTTATCGAGCTCGGTTCGTTTGATAAACAAGTCAGAGCCAAGTTTTTTCACACACATGTCTTGTATTGCTTATGGGCTATAGTTCTATACTAGTTTCAAGGCCCATATGGGGATCATGATATACACAGGCCCATCCAGAAATATTAAAAAATTGGGCTTTCATATTCCAACATATATGGTTCTTGAAGAAGAATTAGCCCGATTGTTTTAGCCCATAGCTACTCAAGTATCTGAGCAAATCCCCTGCCCATTTTTTATTGTCTGTGCCTTTCTCAAATTTGGTTTTCATTAGTCGTTTGTTGTTGGATTTGTAGAAATTGGATTGATTTGAATATGTAATTATCTCATCAATTGGGCCTTAGCCCAAATGAACTGAGCACCCACTCAGCTGACACCATATTCCTCTCCCGATTTTAATGGGCTGTTACAGAAAAACCATATTATTTGTTGGACCGAGGCCCATATAACTCCATTTTAACGTTTCACTCGTTTATCAATATCAACAAATTGAATTTGAGTTGTAACGAATCAAGTTAATTTAAAATTCAGAAGTGTAAGTAAAAATCTCTATTCTCTAGTTCTAGTGAGTTCCGAGTTATATAACTAGTCAGATTCGACTCAAGTCAGTTAAATGGGAAATCTCATGCTACATGTAGGAGGCAGTGCCCCCACATGTTTTTTTACCATTGATTTCACACACACCAATGTGGGTGTGTGTATGTGAATGTGTGCGTATCAATGGTTAAAAAGCATGTGGGGGCAGCGCCTCCAACATGTAGCATCGGATCTTCCCAGTTAAATAAAGAGGAGAAAACATAAAAAGAAAAAAGAAAAGGTGAAAAATAATAAATTATGATTTTTATCCAAAAGGAAGCCACGTGAGGTCACGTGCATGGTGGTAAGACACGAAGGGATGATGATAAGTTGGCAGGTGTGAAGGAATAGAGTGTACCAATCCCCGTGCGTGGATCTGTCCTTGCTGTAAAATATATCTATATCATCATCACCATATATTTTTCTATCTCCACAAACTCCAATAAGGATTAAAATTTTTTAAATTCCCATCCATTTGGAATAAAGTTGAATATCAAATCATTTGCAAAATAATTTTTTTCAAAAAATGAAATAATGTTAAGAAGAAAAAAAAGAAAAAAGAAAAATATATATGGTGAAGAACTCATATGTAGAGAATGAAAATAATAAATACCACTTCAAAAGTTTTAGGATAACCTAAAATATATTATATCTTAATGACACTAATAAGTAATTATTACAATAACTTATCATAAATTTTCTTATTTAAAATGAAATTTAGTTTATTGCGAAATTGCTACTTGTGGGCCTGTGGCATGTCGATCAACAACAAGTATTCGACCTTGTGCATTTGCACAGCTTAAATATAATATTATAAGTTACATTTATGCATATAGTATTAAAATTATAAGTTATACAATGATATTATATTTTAAACATAGTATATTATAAGTTATATTTATGCATATAATAATAAAAATGTAAATTAAATAATGATATTATGTTTTAAAATTTAACCATTGGTTAAAAATAAATAGTACATAACTATTTGATTGCATATGAACCACTATATTAATTACATAAAATATAATAAATAATGTAATTTTGAGAGATCGCCAATCTATTAGCTTAAAAATATTAAATTTATTATAACATTTGATTATGCGATTTTAAGGAATTTTACTATAACATTAAAATAAATTAACTTATTTAGAAATACAATCGCTAAATAAGATAAAAAAATATAATATTAATTTTAGAATAAATAACTTTAGCAAAAAATTTATAATAATATTTTATGTTTATGTAACTTTCATATATCATTTAGTGTAAACTATAGTTATTAGTTTTAATAATAATTATTATATGATATAATAAAATAGTATAATTATTACTCCGTTAATATAAAATGTCACGTTTTTGTCTTAATTAACCCTTAAAAAAGTGCAATGAAATATTTTAGCATTAATTAGATATGGTGGATTAATAATAATAATAATAATAATAATAGAATATTGTAACATAAAAGATGGTAAACAATAATTAATATTATTAAATTTATTGTTAGTAATTAAATATAGAGAGAGAATATAAATGATAAAGTTTGTAACGGTTTTTGGAGGTGATATGGGGTATTATATAGCTAAAGAATAGACCGGTTTACCACATTGGTCGGGCAAGCTCGAGGTAGAGAAAACTGCATGGGTCGATTAGATCAAAATAACCTTATTTAATTGCTGGCTAATAGCTCGAGGTAGAGAAAACTGCATGGGTCAAGCCGGTCGGAGTGTTTTGCGTTACCAGGAGGGAAATCAAAATAAGGTTTTATTAAATATTTTATTAAATGCTATTAGCCAGCAATTATATATATATATATATATATATATAGATTTTAGAGGTTATTATTCAAGCTGAGTTGAATTAAGTAGCTTAAGTTTCGAACTTGTGCGCGATTATTAAACGTCTATAGGGTTGAGCTCGAGTTCGACTAATTCCATAAATCAGAAATTATAAGCGAGTCGTGTGTGAAAAATAAAATGTTCATTTACAAATGAATCATACTCGACAATATTATTTATAATCTATATATATATATATATATAAAAGATAAATTTAAAAGTAAGTTGTTCAGAAACAAATTCAGCTCGTTTTCTATTTAAACGAGTCGAGCTCGAACTTTCACGAGCCGAACTAAACTATGTTCGGAAACAATATGATTTGAAATAACAGCTCCAAAACCGTTTATATGAATGCATGTACTTAAAACTAAAATTGGGATAAAAATGATGGGATGAAAACGAGCAAACCCTATTATTAAGATTCCATTATCCACATAATAATGTTGAATTCGTTCTTTCATCAGTTTTACTTGATATTTTGATTTTGTCATTCGACCCACTATAAGCCCCTTATTACACTCAATGATGATGTAGGCGAAATGTATGTAATTATTACTTATGCTTAAAGCAAGGACAGTAAGATTGATTGATTAGCTTGAAACTATGTCAAGTTGTCAACCATGAAATTAATTTTATGAAATTTTCAAATTTTTCATTTAAGGTAAATAGGTTAAAATCATGTTTAAAAGAGTTCAATTTTAGATTGAACTATTATAATGTAACCGCAACTTTCAAGAATTAAATTGTTTGCAAAACCTTCATTACTATTGACTATACAGTTATATCATATTGACAGTTTTATTATTTGGCATTATCAGCCGCAAGGATTTGATAAGTGATTGCCCCAATATCACATGGATTTGAAATTTAGGAATGGAAAAAAATAAAATCATTTGAAACAAGATTAATGGATTTAGTTATTAGCTTTTAATTTTTTGTTCTTAGTTTCAAAATTAAACTTTGAAAGAAAGTATATATATACATACTCCCTTTGTTTCTTGTTAGATGTCGTTGTAGGATCTTAAATTTTTTACAAATTAGTTGTCGTTTGAAATATTATATTCATTCTTAGAACTTTATTCTCTTTAACAAATTTTATCTCTTATCATTATCTTTAAAAACCACCCATTAATAATTGAAAAACTAAATTTTATAAGATTAAAATATAAAATTATTACACAGCCCATTAAAATCGTAATTTAGAAGTTTTAAATTAAAACGACATCTAAAATGAAACAGAGGGAGTATATATATATATATAGATTGATTCAAATAAGAACTAATCCTGGTGTGAGAACTGTGAGAACCATATTTGATGTTACTTTTAATTGTGTATGATGCTATTTTTAATCTTACATAATGCTATCATTTTCACAAATGCTAACATAGATTGTGTTGCTATTTTTAATAAAATAAATCCTGATTAAAAATAGCACTACAATACAATCAATCATAGCACTACATACAATTAAAAACTAGTACGTGGCCCGTGCGATGCACGGGAAAATAATATTTTGATTGTATTATTATAAATTAAATAAATAAATAACATAAATCATGATTTACTCATTATTTATAAATTAAACTGGGTTGGACACAGTCCGACCGCATGGACCGAGAACCGGTTTATAACCAATTTAGTGCGCTTGAATAAAATATTTACTATCGAATCCGCCAACACCAGTATGTTGGACTGGTAAGATCGATACGATTTTGTAAACAAATTTTATTACATGAAAAATTATTTTAAATAAAATTACATATTTAAATAAAATAGAGATTTATAAATTGTTTATCAATTAGTTTAAACATTTGAATTTATAAATTGTTTAGATATTTAAGTAACACTTTTTATTTAAATTTATTACAAAAAGAACTATATATATATATATATATATTAAAGTATTATGTATTAAAATCTGAACAACCACAAGACGGTCCGATTCTGAAAACCTTATATTTACCGTACATTAATAAAAATGATAATGAAATAAATATTTTG